CTTTAAGTGCTACATTACTCAGATCTAACTGGTGGGCTTTTAGTTTTCCTGGATGGATTTTAACTAAATAGACTTTAGACATTTGGATATAGATAAATGCCTAATTCAGTAATTAGTATTTTAAAACTGTGAAACCTTTTAAGTTAAGTGGCCTATTAATTAACTACCAATTATCTTGTCTGACTACCGTATCAATAGAAGTAAATTACCGACTAGCTATTTGACAGATTTAGTCCTATACCACGCAGAATTTCTTCTAGAACATAAAAGGCCTGGAGTTAAATGCTTTTGCTTCCCCCTTTTGGTTAATCAGGGATCAATTTGCTGCTCACAAACAAAGGACAGATGTAGATCTTTGGTCAAAAAAGGACTTACAGACAAATTCCAGCTGCTAAAAATGGCAAGGTAAGATCCTACACACTCTCTCAAAAAAATAACAAGTAAAGCAATGTTAATATTTTTTGGGAAATATCAGTTTGCAGTTCCATATGGGGTGTAACTTTCTATGTATCAAATGGGAATAGTGGTATTTTCAAGTTTTTGCATCACACTGAGACACAGAGAGCCTAAGTGAATGCTCTCTATGTTTATTCCAGAGTTAAAGTGCAGTACATTGCAAACACAGTCCCCGGGTGGCACAGGCAGTTAACATGTTTGAAAGGCTGGCAGTTCAAGTCCACCCACAGGCACTTCACAAGAAACTCCTGGTGACCTACTCCCCAAAAATCAGACATGAAAACTCTATGGAGCACAGTTCTACTCTGACACACATGGGGTTACCATGAGTCAGGGCTGGTTTGATGGCAACGGTTTTTTTGTTTATTTTTATATTGCATACTCTCTCCACGGTCTTTTGGTAACCCTGAGTGTTTTTTTTTTAGCAGATTATGCTGACTACAACCTATCCCAAATCTATTACTTGATTGGTGACCAAAAGAGTGTTCCTGGGAGAGCAGCCAGTGAGAGTGAGAGTAAAACACTGGAAGTTGAAGAACCATGGAAGACTGGAGGGCTGTGCAGAGTAGTGCCATGCACTGTGCAAACTCCTAGAGGGTCATGGAAATAGTGAGTGGCTAAGAAGCCAGGAAAGAAATGCTGTAGGGATCCTCTCTTTGAAGCCTGGTAACTGGGCAATATGAATGGTTGCCATACATTCAATTTGAGTTTAATTCAAATGATTATATCACCACCAAACTTTTTAAAGTTGCTAACCTCACATCAATGAGCAGAGTCAATACACTGAAGTATCAGAATGGGGGCAGGGAAGTGGAAAAAATTGTGTAGTAAAACAAAAGGAGCTACAAACAGTAATGAATGTGAACCATGCCCCATTTTGAAGTATCATCAATCTTACACAGCTTGGGTAAGTCCAACAATGCTTACCTTTTGAAACCTCAGAACATGAACTCATCTTCTAAATATTTAAGCAGAAGCCTAGCCTGTATTATCAAACATTTATTGAGTGACTTATGAGTAGAGCTCTGTACCTGGCAGGGGAAAACCGATGTATTTCGCAAACTGGCTTCAAACAGCTGGCCATCTACTTTGGATGTATAATATGTGCATCTCGAAGTAGACAGCAATGTACAAGTGAATAAACATATACTATAGTGTAGTGCCTAAGGCACTTGACTGCTAATGAGAAGGCTGGCGGTTCAAACCCACCAGCCACTCCTCAGAAGGAAGATGGGGCAATTTACTTCCATAGTGATACTGCCTTGTAAACCCAAGGAGGGGTTGCTATGAGTCAGGTCTGATTTGACGGCACATAACAACAACAAAGACGACGTATAAAAAGTTATACGAAAGAGCACATGCTATGCACCAAATGATGGGAATGACAAAAGCTGCAGGAGATTAACAGAAAGAAAGGGAAAGTCTTAGACAAGTCACTTTACAGATACTTCATTAGAAAGCAAGGGGTTGGACAAGATGTCTTTAAGGTTCCTTGTAGCTCTAATATCCAAAAATGCCCAGAAAGGGCTGGCATAGGGAGGGAAGGTTATATTGAGAACTTAAGGTAGGCCTTACAAGGCATATGGAGTGGAGGAAGAGGGCATTCTGGACAGGGGGAATAGTATGAGGAATGGTCTCGAAGTGGGAGCACACAACTTGTCAGTGGAAGGTGAGCACAACAGTCCACATAATTCTCTAGCTCACTGTACATGACTGTAAGTCAGGACCAACATACTATTTGTTTTTCTAGGAAAACAGACATTGACCACTACTTAATCTGGCTCAAGATGATCTGTTCGAAGGACTAAATAAATCTTAGCTCAGCTGATCTACTTTTTAAAATGTGTAGAGCAACTTATTGTTCCCCCGACCCCACCCACAAGATACAGTAAAAAGAAACCCTGTTAATAGTTTTTTTTTTTTTCTGGAAGGAAAACAGTACATGCTAATACATCTTTGAAAAGTTACCACCAACACTTCCACCTAAGAAGATTACTGGAAAGGAAGCGGAATTCTGGTGGCTCTACTGACACACCATTTTAAAATAGTAACAACAGCAATCGTTAATAATCGTTTAATAAGCATTCGTTCAAATTTTAGTTGCTAAACAGATCTCAACTTCTCAAAAGGACTGTAAATCTTTGCAAGAAGTCAGAAATTCCAACTCATTTTAAAATGAGTTTTCTGACTCAATACTGAAAATAAATTCTTAAGTTTAGATGCTTAGGGGAAAAAACAGCTGGAGAATTCAGGAGCCTCCCATATTTTAATATGAAGTGATGTCATAATTGACAAGGCTTCCAAGAACTCCCTAAATTGTGTGGTTAAATAACATCTCAAAGCAGAGTGAGAACTCTAGGAAGGTGGTATGTTCCTCCCTGTTATACAGGTTTAGTTCCAGAATTTTTCTATTAGAGATTTGACTCGATTTCCTCCTTATGGTAGAAAATAGCCCAAAATTCTTAGTATGTCAAATAATATATATTCCCAAAGCTAAGGCTATGAATTTTCTGTTCTTTATACATTTTAAATTAGGATTCACTTTACAGGATGCCTAGGGAAAATAAACTGCTTTCCTGTTATACGTGTTTAACTGCAGATCATATGGATTTTCCTTAACAATCTGGTTATATTTGAAATTTTAAAATTTAACAAAATAATCAACTAGAAAAAGTAATCAAGATTACTTCAGAGTGTTTTGTGTAGATGAAAATGTATAGTTAGGACATCCTTAATCACCTCAGTCAAAGGTTATTTTAAAAACAATCCCAGTGTCTATGGTTCATAACTAACCTACTGATGGTTGTATATATTTTATATTTGAGACTGGCAACTCGACTGAAATCAACTGGAGTTCCCATGGCAGCTTCATCTTTACCATTCTTCAAATATGAAAACTACAGTCCACCTGCAACTTGCATATGTGTTTGATTTCAATAGTGGTTGGTTGTTTTACTTGGAACTATAAACACAGGTTCTTGAAAAACTGTACTGCTGGGCTTAATTGGTGATGCTGGCTCTTACCCATCTACTTACCCCTCATCTCTTTTCCCATTTTCTGCCTGTTTTTGTGGACCCTGTACATCAAAAGAACTTTAATTCAGTTCTTTACCCCCATTGCACACAACAAACACAATGTACACACACACACAGTGTGCACACACATATGAACATTTATAGTTCCCCAAACTGTATTTGGGAGCTCTGGTAGCATAGTGCCTAAGGCACTTGACTGCTAACCAGAAGGCTGGCAGTTCAAACCCACCAGCCACTCCTCGGAAGGCAGATGAGGCAATCTACTTCCGTAGTGATACTGCCTCGGAAACCCAAGGAGGGATCGCTATGAGTCAGGTCCGACTCGACGGCACATAACAACAACAACAACAAACTATATCTGGTAATGTTCTTACATGTTTAAAACATAAACATGTCTTAGCTCAGGTTATTTTTATGTTCATCTCAAGAAATTTGGAAATCAATAAAGCTCATGTTTAAAATCAAAACAAAAACCATTAAAATAATTTTCCTTCCAGGATCAGAGAAAAGGTCTGATGTTCAATAAGCAACATTTGAGTAAGTACTTCTAAAGCCAGATTAAGTTTTTAAGCAGTTGCTAAAAAATTAATGAGGTTTAATGTGACCTATTTAGGAGAAACAGTTCTTTGTTGTCTTCTATTAGAAGGCTAATCCGCCTATGGAAAAAAAACACAAAACCATATCTCGTTACCCTTTCTTCACTGGATCCTATCTGCCTACAAAAGTAAAGGTGACATGCTATGAAGAAGAAAAGCATGAAGTGGGTCAATTGTGTACAGTGTTAGAGGGGAGAGTTTTACACCTACCCTTACTGAAGATAAGTTCAATTGAAAAACTAGGTACTAGTTTTGTCCCCAGGGTAGCAGATGGCCCTACTCCTCATCCTGAGGTGCTGCAGTAGTTCTGATGGTTAGATGAAGAGGTGGATTAAGCCCCAGCTCACACCCCCATCCTTATATAGTGACTCTCATAGAAGAGATGACTTTTCAGCTGCAAAATCCTGAGATATCTTCCAAGAGACTACCACCATGTACCATGTGGAGGCTCAGTGGATGTTAAGTGACTGCCAGGGTGGCCTGACCACTCCCAATGGACCACAAATGCTGATCTCAGAATCTCTGGCAGTTTCTAAAATGTGGCTGAGCAGTAATTTGGAAGCCTAAACTCTGACTTTAGGAATTCATAAGAACAACCAATGTTTTACAAACGCTACAGAAAGTAAAATAAACAAACCCAGGGTTTTATGCTCCCTCTTGTTATTTTTATGGCAGGCTTTCAAATAGCTCAAAATGTTCAGATGTCTGCTCTCTCAAGAAATACTGAATGGGGGGGGGGCGCAGATAGTAACTGGCATACACTGTAATTCACCATGAGGGAGGGGCTAATTAGACAGAAGCTCTGTGGTGAAAGAGCACAGGTGGCTTTCAGGCTGGTACTGAAGTCTCTCTCCTTCCCAACCTTCTCATTGAGGAGAGAACAGCAATAAAAACAAGGATGTTTATATTTACCCAGAAGTGTGCATGGCAATTGACCATCATGGTTCTTTCAATGAGCTCATCAGGACATTCCAGCAGGTGATGTCCAGAGACCACGCCAGCATTATTGACCAGGACTGAGACCTCGCCAACCTCCTTGCGGACCCTTTCAGCTGTCAGGTAGACATTCTCCCTCTTCCCTACATCACAGGTGTAGGTAAAAACCTGTAAGTTACAGTGGGGCAGAATCTCTTCCTCACCATTCCCAGCTGTCCTCAGAGGTCCAGATGAGGGGAAAAATGAAACAGAGAAGGGGGTGCAGAAAGTGAGTCACATGGCAATCAGACAAGATCACACACAACAAAATACTACAGTGAGCTTCAAATTTCTAACATCATAAGGCTTGCCAATGAGTGACCTTACAGCTGCCTTCCTAGCCCAAAAGTCTTTGGGAATTACACCAATATACTGGATAACTTTGCTTAGGGAAAAGTCATGTAATTGTGACAAGCCAATATAAGTCAGGCCACATGGGATCAGCTTCCTGTAGCCAAAGATACCTGGAAAGAACTGTTCTCAGCCCAGAAAGCAGACCCCCTTTCCAAACACACACAGTACAGATGCCATTTTGGGGGAACAGTGGCCAAAAGAGCTCTTAGTGTTGAGTATGAGCACCCTCAAAATAGAAGCTCACCTTTAGGCTCAGGAAATAAAACTATAATTAATAATCTGAATTCATCCAAAGCCAAGAAATAAATTTAATGTTTCTCATTAAAAAGGAGAAGTCACCAGTTTGTCCTAACTTGAGTTGTTGACTCCTTTAAGATCGCCCTTATACAAATCAAGTTTACAGGTCAATATGCAATTTTACCTCATAAGAACTTACACCAACAATTTGAAGACCAAAATCTTTTCACTGGAAAACACTTATCTTTTAGAGTTCAGCAGGGAGCACAAAACCTGCATTTTCTACTTCTCTTTTACTACGACTGCACATGGAATAATTTCAATCCTGAATTTTGTGACCTAAAATACAGCTATAATGATTCTGGTGACAAATCACTGAAACAGGATAAAGAAGGTGGCTAAATCTCAGTACATTTCAATTATTTTCCCGGGAAATGAAAAATTTTGTCAAAAAGCAAGAGCCATTTATCAAATTTCCTGGATCAATCTGTACAGTTGGTTGTGGTATCTGCTCTTTTTTTTTTTAAGTCTCAGACTCACGGTAGTTAATAAGTATACAGAAATGCAGATTTCCTGAGGTTACCAAAAACATGGGAGAAATTTACAAAAAGGCTTCAAGCCTTCAAGTGCTTCCCCTTATAGAAGAACGGTATCTTTTCTATCTTGCTCAGAGTAGGCATAAAGCACTTAGTTATCTCTAATGAAACAATGTAATTATTTTCCTGTGGCTAAAGTTATAGTGAAATCATCAACTCTGCCCTTCTCTAAAGCGGTTCAGCCCATGGAAACACAGATACATGTTCAGCACAATCCGAGAACTTCCCAGACACTTTAGTTTCCCACCGCAAAAGCGAATGAGAACATTTCAGGATCTCAACCTGTAGTAACAAGTTCCCTCTGCCTTCCCTAGTCTCAGAGGTTTAGGAAATACCAGTCGTCCCAAAGAGATGTGGCCTCAGTCGGATAGGGGTTCGATACACTTCTCCTCTGCTCAGTACAGAGGCGATCAATTTCTTACATTAGAGGGCAAATCCCACTCGCCTTCCGGAAGACAGACCACTCACTGCCGACGAGTCGAATCCGACTCCTAGCGAACCCTCCTTAGGTTTATGGGAAGGTGTCTCTACGGAAGTAGGTTGCCCAGTGTTCTTTTCCTCGAGAGCGGGCTGACCGTGACACTGGAGTTTCGCACCCCACCCCCCAGCCCATGTAGGGTGCGGTGGTTAGGGAGAAGGTTTGAGCCAACAATACCAGAGCGGGTCCAAGTTACCTTGCAGCGCCGCGGCGTCGGCAGCCTCCAGGTCGCGGTAGATGTGGCGCACCATACCCGCGGTCTCCTCGTTGCTCTGCGTGTTGATGTCCCAAAGCACCAGCAGCGCCCGGCGCCGGGCGAACTCCAGCGCGAAGAGGCGGCCCAGGCCGCTGCCGGCGCCGGTGATGAGGCACACCTGGCCCGCCACACTCTTCTCCTTGGGCCGCACTAGCCAGCGCGCCGCGGCCAGCACGAACGCCCAGAGCACTTTGAAAGTGACCACGAAAAACTCCACCACGATGTTCATCGTGACGCTCGGGGTCCCGCACAAGCCCAGCGGCCGCGAATGCTCCCACCCCGCGCCGGGCAGTCAGGCTCCCGCCCCAAGGGCGCTTGTCAGAACGGCCAAAACCAGAAAACTGCGCCCTAAGCGCGCCCC